ATCTTGGAATGCCCTTCCAGAACCTCTAGGTGTTTTGGACTTCAGCTTTTACAACTCCTAATGGCTGTTAAGTTGGCTGGGATTTCTGGGAGTTGAAGTTCAAAACATTTGGAGGACTTTTTGGTGTGGCACGTTAACTGAAAATCATGTGGCTTCCTATCAGTGAACTGAGACTAGGAGAGGCAATTATTTACGTGTCCAGATGTTATTGAAGTATCTGCTGTGGCAGCATTAGTCATCATAGATAATGATGAAAAATGCTAGAAGATTTAGTCTCACACAGTATGATTCTCATCCCAGTGTAGGGAGGTAAAAGTATTTTTTTTCTCGTGTCAGGATCGACTTGAGAAACTGCAAGTCGCTTCTGGTGTGAGAGAATTGGCTGTCTGCAAGGATGTTGCCCAGGGGATGCCTGAATGTTTTGATGTTTTACCATCCTTATGGGAGGCTTCTCTCATGTCCCCACATGGTGAGCTAGAGTTGACAGAGGGAGCTCATCCGTGCTGTCCCCAGATTTGAAACTCCGACCTGTTGGTCTTCAGTCCTGCCGGCACAAGGGTTTAACCCATTTCACCACTGGGGGCTCCAGGTAAAAGTATAAGATAACTTCTTATGGTCCTAATGAAATGAATGATAACTAGAAACATGTTATGCTTATAGAATTCAAAGACATGGCCTTGTTAGTCAGGATAAGTACACAAAGGGATACTGTAAGATATCTTAGCACCTTTGAGACTAAAACTTGTTGCATAAGCTTTCATAGAACAGATTTATTTATTTTATTTATTTCCAACATTTCTAGCCCATCCGTCTCAACCCCCGAACGGGGACTCAGGGCAGCTTATAATGGCAGCAATTTGTTGCGACACCATACAACACATTACGTACAACATTATACAAAAGCGAAAACATTAGATTAAAATACATTTAAAACATTATTATCATGTAGCCGAATCAAAGTCTAATTTAGCAACCGGTGACCCAGTCCAAAGCCTGTCATAGTCAAAATTCCAACATTATGATTACTGCCAAACCTACTGTCCAACGGCGTGGTCCCAAAACCATGTTTTGAGCTTCTTTCTAAAAGAGAGGAGGGATGGAGCTGACCTAATCTTGCTACAGTATGCATTTACTGGATCAATTCATTTCATAAAGTAGACTTGGGATGCATCTACTCTGTAGCATTAAGGTCATTTGATACCACTTAAATAACCCTGGATTAATGCAGAGAAGGCCAAAGACTTTGAAAAACTACAGCTCCTAAAATACCATAGCATTGAGCCATGGCTGTTAAATTAATGTCAAACAGTGTTACTTCTACGGTACACCCTGAGTCCATGAAAGCTTAGGTCAGAAACTTATTGCACTCAGTTAGTTTTAGAGGTGCCTCAATACCCCTTTGGTTACATTCTATGCTGTTTGTTAGCTAGAAACACATAATTGCTGGTATCTTATTTGTGACAAATGCATAGGTACATCCTGCATATGCTATCTTTTTGAGTTGTTGTGAAGGCTGGTACTTCTTTCTTCTGCAATTGCAAAAGGCCTTCACTTGGATTCACAGTTGTTTTATGACAGTCCCTTCCTGCCATTTCATTACTGAAATCTCAGAATCATGTGGCTATCTTCCTATATCCAGATGCAGACCAATGACATCACCTGTTATGACTGCTAGAGCTGTGGTTCTCAACCTTTAGCGTCTCTGACTATTGGTCAAGGTGGCTGGGGCCCTTAGAAAGTGCTTGGGATGATGAGGATTTGAGAACCACTGCTCTAGAGAACTCCAGCAGATCTGAAAGGCCTTCTTTAGCTATAATATACCACTTTAACTGCCAATGTTGTGGGATTCTGGTATTTTCAATTTCAGATAGCTCTGGTGCCATAACAAACTACAAATCCCAGGAATACCTAGAAGGGAGCCATGGGAGTTATATCAGTGCAGTGAAGCAGGCAAACCAGCATGGTAATTGAATTCCCTATCATACCATTCTGTGCGCATCTTGTTGTTGATCTGCTTCACCACTTCCCATGACTCTCCCATCCCTGTTAACACATAAAACCCATCAATATATCTAAATCCTGCAGTGTTGCCACCACCTACCTTGGTATGATGGGTCCCTTTTGGGTCTTTGCTAGCATGGCAACAGTAAAGTGATGTCTGAGGAAAGGTTTTTTGTCTTCTCTCCCTCTTCCCCCATTATTCTAAAGTTGGTGAGTTGGTGTGTGTGTATGTATGTGTGTGTGTGTGTGTGTATGTATGTATGTATGTATGTATGTGTGTGTGTGTGTGTGTATATATATATATATATATATATATATATATATATAATTGGCTTTTTTGTTTATAAATTCTGGAATTGTGTAATCTCACTAAAAATTTAAAAAATAATAAAATAACGGGGGTGAGAAGGGTGGGGTAAAAGTAACTGAAATAAAATAAATAAATAAATAAATGGTAGGATTAGGAAGTCACAGTGTGCGGGATGTAACCACTGCACTAGAAATTCACAAATTGGCACAATTGTGCTAATGAAGAGAGGTGTGATATTGAGGTGTTCAACACCACATGTATCCGCTCTCAATAGCAACACAACTGTAATGGAATTGTGGGTTTGTAGTCAATGGGTGTGCGGAGATGTCGGAATCTATTCACTGGAGGGGAAAAAACTACAAATCCAATTCCATCCAAGGGGTAGAGGGGCATGTCTGGGGGTCCCAAGGGGTGACCACAGCAGGTTCCCCGGGGTGGGCAGGCTTCTGGGCATGCATGAGATGGAGGCATGAACGTTGTTGCAGCATAGAGGCATGGATTAAAGTCAGCTGGTCTCCACATGAGGTTTTTGAGACAAAAATGATTTTTCCGGGGTGTAGGAGTCCGTAATGCAAAAAGCAAGATAGCAGTTACTCTTAAAATTAGTCTTAGACCCGTCGCAAACTCTGTTCCTGCGGGAGCAAACCTTGCTAGCACGTCCCTGACGTCATGAAACTCCGCCTCTCGCCCCGCCCCTTTCTCCGCCCCTTTCTCTTTGCCAGCGTGGTTTTTCCTTTGCTAGGGCAGCATTGCCAGCATACTCTCTCAGTTGGCAGAATTCAACTGAGAGAAAATGCGGGCAATGCTGCCATAGCAAAGGAAAAACCACGCTGGCAAAGAGAAAGGGGCGGAGAAAGGGGTGGGGCGAGAGGCGCAGGCTCATGACGTCAGGGACGTGCTAGCAAGGTTTGCTCCCGCAGGAACAGAGTTTGCGGCGGCTCTAAGAAAAAGATGGCACTGGTTTGGAGTCAATCCATTGACCCGCAGATATGGGGGCCCAATGGGTTTCCATATCCACGGTTCAGAGGAATGCATTTTCGGCCTCCCCAGGATGCTGTAAGAGTGTCCCGGGCGAGCCAGCAGCCATCTGCGGCTCAGGAAAGGAAAGGTTCATGCTTGAGAGTGTTAGAGGCATTAAAAGACACAATGTATCACTATGGAGAGGTAAGATTTCAAGCAAAGGATACTTTTATTTGGGGGATTGTTACAATGTTAGGGTAAGTCTATGAGGGAAGAAAAAAAAGAAGCAGAAAAATGACTCGGTTGAAGCTGCTGCTGGAGCCACAGTCCCTCTGTTGTTGGTTCAATCAGATGTCCAGGAACTGCGGAACTCCCTGCTGCAGTTCAGATCAGCTTGAAAGCAGGGGCTTGTTGACTCAACCTCAGGTTTCTATGATAAAAACATATTGGAGTCTTGTGTGTGGAACCCTTCTTCTCCTATCAACAATGTAGGATCTCAACCTTTGATACTAGCTAAACTGACTCAAAGTCCTCAAAAGAATCAAATAAACCAAAACTAGTTATTTTAACATGGAAATCTACAAAGACCCCATCTATTCTGCCATATAATCCAGTTTCTGAATCCAGATTATCTGTTCTGAACTGGATTATATGACAGTGTAGACTCATCTAGTTCAAAGCAGATAATCTGAATTCAGAAACTGGATTATATGGCAGTGTAAATCCAGCCAAAGTTGACTGTAAAATAGCAAATCTAAGGTTTCATTTAAATGTTCATTTTCTTTCATAGTTGTAGTTAGTTATAATTGACTTTCTTTCCTGTAGTGGTATGTGCTTGCAAAGCTGTGACGCTTTTGTGGGTAAGGATGCTTACTCTTTGGTGCCTTGATGGTTTTGAAGCCTTGTTCTCTGAAGCCGCATCCTGCCTTCTTATTACAAAAACTAGCATTTTCTTTGCAGTAAATAAAGTATTAAGGGTAGTGAACCACAGATTGCTAATAATACAGAGCTTTGCTATTAATTGACAGTGTTGATTGAGAGCGAAGCAAGAGACAGAAGGTAAAGCTCACTGGAGAGCAGATCCGCAAAACAAGGCAAGAAAGAAATAGTCATGAATGGGCTTTAAATTGGGTTTGGATGGCTTGCAGATAGTGTGAAAGATCACAGTTTAGTTGGCTTGCAGATAAGACTAGTGGTCATAGCTTGGATGGTTTGTTGACAAGACTTGTGGAAAAGATTTGTAAACAAGGCTAATGGATAGTGGTCATAGTTCAAAGCTATTTAGTACATGGCAGAGTTACTTCTTTTGGACTGTAACTCTTCAGCGTCAGCCTGGGATAGCTATATAATCACATAATACTAGAGTTGGGAGAGAACCACCCCACTACTATGTAGAAAAACACAACTAAAGCACTTCTGAAAGATGACTATTTGTTCTCTGTTTGAAGAACTCAAAAAAGTAGGATTCTAGTTGTACTGCTCCAAAAGTAGCTTTCCTAAGCAATAGAACAGAGATTCTTCATGGGCTTGTTAGCACTACCAACACTTTATTGACTTTAGCCTGTTGGTGTATAGTTTTATTGACCTGATTCTGTTAGTTCATTGAAAATTGCTGACTTCAATGGGACTTCTTCCTAGGTAAGTGTGAACATAATTGCAGGCTTATTTATTGTGATGTCTCAATTTTTCTTAATGGAAGCAGGCACATTATTTACACTTTGCATTACAGAAAATGAGTACTTTGGACTGGTGTGTTATAGCTGGAAAAAGGCAACTTGTTTCAACTTTCTTTCTAATACTGCTGGGAGTGAACATACCAGGTAAGCAGGAATCTTGTATGGCACAACCAGCAAAAAATACATGCAATTTGTGCTGTTCATGTCCATATATTGTTACATAACCCGAGTTGTTATACTTGTAATTCACTTTAAAAATTAAATAGGCATTGGTGCAAGTTGGACATGTGGCCTGCGTGTGGATTTAATATACTTGTGTTGGAAAGGTTATAGACTCATGCTTGCCACAGATGATTCTGCCTGTAATATCTCTTTTACATGTTTGTACTGAAACTTTTAAAAAAGTTTTTAAAGTGATCTCATCTCAGGAGAAAGGCAGGATATAAAATAAATGAATAAATAAAATTATTACATTTATCAGGTAACCATAAGAAGGCATCAAGTATTTTTATTTAATTTGAAGGAGCCCCCAGTGGTGCAATGGGTTAAACCCTTAATGCCGGCTGAACTTGCTGACTAACAGATTGGCGGTTCAAATCTGGAGAGCAGGGTGAGCTCCTGTCTATCAGTTCTAGCTTCCCATGCAGGGACATGAGAGAAGCCTCCCACAGGATGGCAAAACATCCGGGCATCCCCTGGGCAACATCCTTGCAGACAACCAATTTTCTCACGCCAAAAGCAACTTCCAGTTTCTCAAGTCTCTGCTGACACGAAAAAAAAATTGAAGTTTTATGTTTTATTGAGTCTTGTTTAAATTTATTAATGATTATTATATTTCTGGATAGATGCTACAATTTTTACTGTTCTTGCTGTTTTGGAATGTTTTCCTATCTGCTGTTGTGGATTCCTCCAATCTGCTTGTGCAAAAGGTAGCCCACAGGTTCTCGTATAGTATTGTTGAGATTTGGATAAGTACTAGGAGTATCTGAAGTGTACATATTAGCAACAAGAATCAAGAATCAAAGGAAGTTAATATTTTATCTAGAGAGGCTATGCTGCTACATTTATTGTATGTATACACCATATAACCATCTAAATAGATTTTTGTGACTTCATTCCCCTGTTGTTTGTTTTAAAAATGCATACAACAGAAGATAACAAAACCCAAGTGTCTAATGACATATTTTTTTTTTACTTTCCAGGAAATGAGATGCTGGAAATCTATTACCCAGCAGACTCTCTTCACCTGCAAGAAGGAGATTCTTTAGTTTTGACTTGTACAATTACATACCAGCTCTATGAGTCACAGGGATTGGATGTATATTGGTGCAAACAGGCAGAAGATGTTTTCATTTGTGATAGGATTGATAAGGAATTGCAAAATAAATCATTGGATGAGAATTCAAATCCTAAAGAGAATAACACCTTTTCTATCCTGCTACAAATACACCAACTCAACCAGTCAGACAGTGGTAACTACCGGTGCCAGGGCACCACAATGAATCCAGTTCAATGTGTCATAGGCCACTACATCAGGGTATATGTAACAGGTAAACAATATTCTCTTAGTGATATGTTTCACTAAATTGTACATAATACTTTTATTAGATGTATTTATGAATTTTTCATTTGACAAAACAAATCCAAAACAAAAACAAAGTACACAAATGAAGCAATTGTATTGTTCCATTATCTGTGTGGAGGTCAAAAGGAGGCCCTTGATGGAGAAGGATAGTCCATTTCATGGGGGGAGGGGGAGGTTGAAGGAGTAAAACCATTTCCCCCTGTTCCCCCCCCCCCCCATCAACATCATGGAAACAACTCTCATTTATGAAATTGGAAGTGGGGAGGGAGAATAACCAGCAAAAATTGGGAAAATGGTTTTCCTCCTTCAACTCCACCCCCCCCCCCCATGAACTATAATTCTACATCAAGGGCCATCTTTTGGCCTCCACCTGGTTAATTGAACAACACAGAAACAATTTATCTTTCAATGATGGGAATATCAGTTTGTCCTGCTTGCAAATGGGGTTTTTATCGTATTGTACATAATTGTTTATATTATGCTATGGGCCATTAGTATTTGTTGTGGCTTGGTTCCCCCATGGATTACAAAAGCTGTGCATACTGAAATCGCATTATGGTGTAATCAAATGATATCTCTTATATAAAATGGCTGTGATTTGTGCAAGTCTTGGGGAGTTCGTAATATTCAGGCCTTGTACCTATGATGCAGAAGGATTTATGCAACAAAACTGTTTGCGGGATCATCACCAAGTAAAAACTTCATATAAAATTTCACTGAACTGGCCAGTAAGTTTCTCAGTAGGGGAATTAATGATTTGAGCTCAAGCTTGTTCATAAAACTGCATGACAGTAGAATATGGTAGATGCATTCTACTTCCTGTTTGTTATATAGGCAGAGTCTTTCATTATATGGGATACCCACAAATCTCCCATGCAGCAGTTCATATGGGAACACATTGCACCTTGCCTTGGAAAATAGGCAACGATATTTGGCCACAGTCAAGTTCTTTGCTGCAATTTGCTGCATGGAAAGGCTCAACATAATGTAGGGACAGAGCACTTGGGGAGCAAGATACATATGAACGAGAGTGCAGCTCACAAAAAGCAATATTCCACAGACTCTGTGTGATTGATTTGAGAGCCATGTTGAAATCTAGGTGAATTAGGAAGGATATGGAAAGGCTGATGGAGGAGGATTCTTAGAGCTGACCTTAAACTAATTTCATCCAACTGTGTGTTAAATCAACCAGCTGTTATTAATCTTATTAACCTTGCCTATTTTGTACACTTAGGAAGCAATAAGGGTCTTTGGACCATAATAAAATGTTGTTGTTTGCTGAGTCAGAATATCAGCAATTCTCTCCTTGTCTTGCTCCAAATGATGCAATTTGACACAACTTTAACTGCCATGAATCAATGCTAGGAGATCATGGGAGTTGTAGTTTACAAGCTTTTTAACCTTCTATTTCAAAGAGTTCTGGTGGCTTACCAAACTACAACTGCATTAATTCTATAGTGTACTTACACTCATGGACTACCTCTTGGCTTTTTTTTTTTTTTTGTGAATCACAATTATACAAATGCAACACATGTATGTCGCAAATGTTTTGGAACTTTTTTCTAACTTATTTATATATTTTGGTTAGCAGCCGCTCAACTTTCTGTAAATATTTCCTATGAAATCAACACCACACTGAACAACCAAGATCATTTCTGGAGAGAAGCTGGAGAGGATTTCCAGAAGAATAAAGCATTTCAGGTGGCTTTCCAATTGGAGAAGATGTTCATGCCAAGTCTGATTCTCATCCTGATGGCCTTCAAAAGAATTTTCTAGCCACATTGAACATATCCAGCATGATATGTCTTGAGATACTGATCTACTATTCATTTGTAAAACATATATATTCAGCTTCATTAAACTTGGGTACCATGTTTCTTTTAAATATTTTAACATGGCTTATAGCCTGACTCTGTTTTGTGTATAATATAAATTTCTGCACCCTGTCAATGTCTTGTTAATCAGATATTGACATATTTATTAGTAAAAATAACATTCAGAAGTCATGTCAAATTAAGCTCATACCTAATAGGTTTGAGGAAAGCACATCTCCATTGCAAAACAAGTGACAGATTATGATAAATGACCCAGATCTATTTGTTCCTTGAGGGTGCAATCCTACGTACAGTTCTCTTGGAGTAAGGCCTGTTGGACTCAATGGGATTTTTTTCATAGGGATACCTTTTGGATTTCATTGTAACTATGCTCTGAATGTATTTACTGCACAATCTAGGGATGGTTTTAGAACTGTTCAGATGCACAGGTGAGAAAACTAATGCTGTACTTCAGTAATAATGTGTAGGCTTACTGCCCCCTATCAGTGAATATGTATAAGAATCTTTTTTAAAAAAGGAAATTTGTTATTGCATGTTCAACTCTATGGCAAACCTATAATGTGGTAAGATATTGGCAAGATTTGTTCTTTAGGGTTTGCCATTGCCTTCCTCTGACTTGCCTAAGTGGTCGAGCAGGGATTCAAACCATGTCTGAATTGTCAGTTCAATTCTCAAACTACTACACCAGGCTGGCTCTTTAAAAAACAAAATTGCTAGTGCTTCACACCTCTAGAAATAAAAATAAGGCATATACCAGAAATAGGATTAAAGACATTTAAGAGAAAAATGAGTCAACCTCCTTAATATGCCTATCTGCTATATAATATTCAACGAGTTACCCAATGTTCAGATAATATGATTTTGGTTCTCTGCAGATTACTCTAAAATTGTTAAATCTTTTTCAAATGGGACTGCATTATTCAGCAAGGCAGACATTTAAAATATATTTTATGATTTATTTTAAGAGATGATGATAATGTGAATCCTAGCTTCCCATCTCATTTGTCAGACTAATCGTTCTTTGTCTCCTGCCTTACATCCTTTCCATGAGCTAGAAATAGTGTCAAATACCCAATAGCGGAAATGAAAAAAGCAAGTAAAGGCACGCTGGCTATCATATTTTTAATTCTATTATTTCCGCTGGTTGAAAATCTGTGGTTGTTTGAGTGTTAAACTCCACATTTAAAATTCAGATCTTAAGGCCCACTTTAAGATTCCAGATTCAAAGAGCAGGCATAAACAAGGTGTGGCTTATGGGTGTAACTAGTGTAAAATAATAATAATAATAATAATAATAATAATAATAATAATAATAATCTTTATTTATATTCCACTTTATCAGAGGGACTTAAAATACACATATGAGGAAAACATTCAATGCCTTTTTATACATACAGTGAACAACGACATACACCACAGGCAAAGGTAAAGGGCTTCCCCTTTTTCCATCTCCGCCATCTGGAGGTGATGCTCAACTAAGGTCACTGGGAGTTGCTGATGTTCCATTTTTCCATGCCGAGGAGCATGTTGTCCATGGACATCTTTGATTGTGTTGCCGGCACATCTGCACATCTGCATGGGACACTCTTTTACCTTTCCGCCAAGGCAGTACCTATTGATCTACTCATATTGCATGCTTTCGGACTGCTAGGTTGGCAGGAGCTAGTGCTAACAGTTGAGAGCTCACCCTGACTCATGGCTTTGAACTGCCATCCTTCCAGTCAGCAGCTTTCCTGTAGCTAACAGTTTAACCCACTGTGCTACCATGGCCCCAACATATTGAAGCATATTTTATTTTTTAAAATAATAATTGGAATTTAAAGCATGAAACAAAAGAAAAAAGAAGAGGAAAAGGGGGGAAATACTTCAGATATGAACATGGGCTATGCATATATGATAATATTAGCTGTCCAAAAGTACATTTTTTTCAAGATTATGTTGATAAAATGCACATCCACATGTAGGTAAAGTAATAAGATCTTCTTACATTGAATTCCTGATGGTTAATGTTTATCTTTCTATTGTCGGAGTTTTACTTTTTATTAGAAGCCACAAAAGTTTGTAAGATCCAGTGCCAATGAATAACAGTTGAATTTCAAGTCATAAAGGTATAAATTAAAAATATATATGCAACTGCAAATGTCAAAGACTCTAATATTGCATTACTTAAACATGATTAATTAAAATAATGAATGCATTAGCACAAAATCCAGAAAGGGTAGTCACTGAGCATGCTCATATCATATACCTTATGAGTCCCTCTTCGGGGAGAGAGAATGGGGGAGGGGCGGGGGGTAGAAATGCATGAAATAAAAATGAAATAAATACTTTTTCTTCCTTCTTACACTTTATATTTTATCTGTATTATATTGTTAGAGACTGGGAATTTAGGGTGACGGGCCCAGAGGGCAGGGAGGAGAGGAGATTCCAACGAGGTTTTTCAACAAGGCTTTATTTCAAGTTGATCAACATTGAGATGAACAGCCCTTGACCATTCAGGTCAAAGAACAAAGAACTGTCCATCCTTTGTGGCACACTTAACAAGTTTTTATATCAAACTGGTAAAAACAACACACAAGCAACTTCTGATTGGTTCTGTTTCTAACGTCAAAGCCTATTAATGATCCTGTTGAATGTCTTACCCTGAGCTGTGGCTTATCTATCTGCAAGTTTGCTTACCCATGGCTGAAAGAATTTTAGGGAGTAAGGGAGTGAGGGAATGTATCTGCTTGTGTCTGACTGAACAAGGAACACAGAGAATAATCATTCTTTCTCTTGCAGCAGCAGTCCTTGGCAAGCAAGGTTTTCTCTATAGACAGGGATTCTGGGACTTGTAATAATTGGAAATTTATTTTTCTTAATCATGTTCCTCTCAATATAACTGAAATGTAGTTGAAGCAGTTAATTTCTTTATAAAAAACGCAGTGGCATCCTATATATGTATATTTCTGTTGAACCCTATTTTCAGATTTAGGATTTTCCAACACATCTTCTAGGTTATGCTGTTGGGTTCAATTTCGTTGAATATGTTGCTAACAGTAAGATTGGGTGAGACACTCATTGCTGATGATCCATATGTACACCCCTGAAATTAATTTTAAGTCCTGTCACAGTGTACTCAGGGCGACAGATAAAAGGACTCCAAATATTGGAAATGGGAAGAATTCTTGATCTGAACCAATCAGTTGATGCAAGGTGTAAATTCTACCATCTGATTATTTAGAGAATTGTCTTGCTATCATCAGATTAGGACTATCTGGCAGATTTAGTTTAACAGGACTATGCAAATCAAATTGCAGTTGTCTGGACAGCCCTTTCTTTATTGCGGGAGTTACCGCAATAAAGGTACTGTCTGGACGGGCCCTGAGTGCACACTGCCATATATTCCAGTTCAAAGCAGATAATGTGGGATTTTATTCAGCTGTGTGGAAGGGGCTTCAGGTAATCCAGTTCAAATCAGATGTTGTGGATTATCTGCCTCGATATTCTGGGTTATATGGCTGTGTGGAAGGGCCCAAGGATGTCCTAATTAAACCCACAACATTGAAAATTCTTTTAAGAAATTAATCAGTCCAAAACTCAAGTAGGATGAAAGTTGCTTTTAAAAGCTGGTTTGTTCTTATCAGTGTTTGTGGCTAAAGACAAACGTTGTTTCTCTATTTTAGACATCCCTGTGGTGAAACATGTGTTATTAAATACAGCTGTGCTACATTGGCTTTATTGAGCCCTTGGCCTCTCATTTTGCTTTCACTATAGATTACCCCTTTTCAGGATGTAACATATGTGCACAGTTTTAAAAATACCCCTGGAACAATGAATCAGAACCATTAAAATAAACTCCCGAACATAAAGGTTAAAGCAAATCAGTTGCAAATCACTCTTTCAGTTCTGTAAAGAAACCATTGTTTAGTTAAGAGATACAAAAGACTTGCTTTACTTCTCTTAAATCACACACTTGTTGCTTTTATATGACTCAAGCACACAGAGGGAACTTTACTAAACCAAACCATTGGTCCACGGAGCTTAATGTTGCCTGCCAAAGCTGTTACAAGAAGTCCAAACTGCTAAAAATATGCTATTTGTGTGTGTGAGAGAGACCCTAAGCAGCAAAGACTGCTGAAGATGGGTGGAAAAGAGAATTTTATTTTAGGAGCTGTTATAATTTAAGATCCTATCACCAGGATAACTTGTGTATTAATGGGAGACACAGAAGACGTGAGGACAAAGGAACTGAGATCATCTCTGAAAATCGCAGTCTTGTATGGCTGTAATTATGAAGGGAATTGCCTTCCCAAATAACTCTACCTCCAGTGAAGTTTCCCATCAACTCTCAGGTTTCTAGCATTCCAGTAACTTAAACTGAGCATTTAAACTACAGGTTAGGCATTCAAAGGAAAGCGACAACCACAGTTACCTAGGAGGTGCAAATGTAAGTGTTGTAGGTATTGACAATTTTCAGTGTATCACTCTCTGCAAAGCTGCAAATTTGGGGACTATGGGGTAGTTTCATTTTGGACACTAGAACTTTTCTTTCAGGGGTGGGCAATGCCTTCATTTAGTACTCACTGTAGCTACATTCCCAATGTTGAGACATTAAGTGGAGCAAATATCGCTGTCCAGACTTTGCTAGAGCACAGCTTCCTCATTCCTTATCATTAATTATGCTGACTAGACTAGATCTCCCAGTAGATGCAGTCCATCAACATTTTGAAAGATGCACTTCACTAGTCCCTAAAGAGAACAGATCACCAAGACGAAGCGCAGTCCCCTCAAGGGTATATCTCTCTGCCTTCACCCTTGAGAAATAGAAGCCCTGTTTACTCATTTGAGGTGCACATGAAAACAGTGTTTCCCCCTTTGCTCTTCTCACATAGAAAGACTATTTATTTAGAGTTCTTTTGCTATACATGTATGATCAGAATCTCCAACAAAATCAGAGATCACAATATCCAAACCTTCATGTACAGCAGAAATTCTTCTGTTCAAATTTGTCACTTTTAATGTGAGCACACAACTCACATTTGCGTGTTGATGCAACATATTTCTCAAATGCTTGAATGGGGCTTTAATTGCCACTCAGTAGTATTGGTGCTTCATTTTTCACTTTCAACACAAGCAGAACTAGCTAAGAGAAAGAAATCAGTACTTCATCAAACTGCCAGAAAAGTTACCTTGACAAGTTATTGCACAGACTTACTAGTTTTTTTTATTTTTCCTCTGAAATATAGTACCTGGTATTAGCTGATGGTCTCCCATCCAAGTACTGACTGCTCTGCTTCCATTGAAGTCAGTGAGATTTGAACAAAGTGCTTTAGACCAGGCATTCCCAATTTTTTTCAGCCACAGAGTCCTTTTTGAAGTAAAAGTTTCTCATGAAGCCGCAAGAAATGTTTATATATTATATTACATAACATGTATATATATTAGGAATGGGCAAACTTTTTGATGCATTGTGTTTTAAAATTTGACAGATGGGCCATGCCAGTGGCCGATGGATAGAGAGTGTTTGTGTGAACTAATTTTTAAAAATAAACAAATTCCTATCCACACTGCAGATATCTCATTTGTAATGCAAATGAAAGAACAATACAATATTTAAAATGAAGAACAATTATAACAAACATAAACTTAACAGTATTTCAGTGGAAGACCCCAGGGGCCATCTAGTCCAACCTCTTTCTGCCATCCAGGAAAACCACAATCAAAGCATGCCTAACAGATGTCCACCCTACATTTGTGACAATCTTAATCAAATCATAATAACAGAAACCGCATGGGACAGCCAGTTCAACTCCCCTCTGCCATGCAGGAAAAGCACAATCAAAACATCTTCTGAATGGTGGGTGGGAAATGGGGTTTTGGAAGCAAGGAAGGTGAGGGAAAAGTATCTGGGTGACAAGGAAAGTGAGGAAAAACAGCTTTTGGTGGCAAGGTAGGTGGGGGGGGGAAAGGCTTTTGGCAGCAATGGAGGAGAGGAAAAAAGGCTTTTGGAAGCAAGGGAGGTGATGAAAGGGTTTTGGGGGCAAGGGAGGTAAGGAAAAAAACTTTGGGTGGCAAAAGAGGCAAGGAAACAGGCTTTTGGTGGTTAGGAGGCAGGGAGGGGGAGGAGCAGGAAAGAGTCGGGAAAGCCTTAAGGGAGAGGAGGAGGGAAGCACGGAGCTACTAGCGAATTGTGTCCTGGTTGGATTCATACCATGGTTGTGTTCCAGCTGCAACAGGTCTCATCAAAAGTCAGTCCCACCAAAACTTCACCATAAGATCTTGGTCCT